GGGTTCCCTGTGCAAAGCAGCAGCCCCGTGGCTACCCCTGTCTAGCTCTTCGGAGACACGTAAGCGGTTTTTAAATTGCATGGACATTCAAGTTGGACGAAAGGCGAATGCCTACAAGTAACTCCGGCGCTTTTTTCTCCTTTTGTTTTGGAGAGCACAATAAAAAAAAAAAAAGAAGGAAGAAAATTTAAAAAAAAAAAAAGAATAAAAGGAAGGGACCTGCAGTGGCTGGGCAACTTTGGCTCAGTGGGGAGGTAACAGGTCCTCCGAGAGCCACCCTGGCTGGCAAATGCATACCCCAAAACCATCTGGCTGGAGGCTCGTGCCCCTGAAGTGCACCATAGTTASACAGTGATTTCAGCCCTGTCGGCTTTTCCCTTAGCTTTGGTAGGTGAGGAGGGCGAGCTGGGGRGTGAGAGGGGCACAGTGTCCCCATGCCACTGCAGGGAGAGGGATCATGGTGGGGGTGCAGCAGGTGGAGGTCCTGGCCCTGGGATGCTGAAAAGGGGGCAGAGGATGCTTTGATCCATGTGCAGGTTTAGGGCAGGGGGGATGGTCCAGCTGGAGCTGTGGGGTGATTTCTGAGCCCTCTGCTGCACATATTCCCCCCACAAGAGCTTTTGTGGGAGTKTTCAATGCAAAGTGGCCCAGATAGTCTTTTGGGGACAAAAATTAGAAATATAGCACTGCAATCCCCTGGAGAGCTTGTCTCCCGTGGACCACCCTTGCCTTGATAGCTATAATATATATACAAGCTATACTGACAAAATACTGTAAGCTAACAAAATTTTAAGGAGGAAAAAAAAAGGTAAAATTTACACTCCGAAAATATTTATTTTTGCCATACTGCTTTCTGCGCATCATATCTCCCCCACTATATCCTCCCCTTCCCGTGCCCTGGGGAAACACCTGCATGTTAAAAGAAAATCCAGAGCAAGGCAAAATACAGATGGGGGAAGAGACAGGGGCCCCTGTGTCGGGGTGGCTGCGTGTGACCGGTGTGCGTGTGCTCTGTGTGTGTGTGTGTGTGTGTGTGTGTGTGTGTGTGCATGGGGGAGTGAGCAGCGGGCAGGGCTGCCGGGGCCAGAGGCTGTGCTGATGTACTCGAGTGTGAAAGGATGGATAGCGAGGAGTTGGTTGTAAGATGGTGGTGGGACAGGAGGTTCTGGGGGGGGGGAGCTTTCCCCCTCCCCAGCTCCCTGGCCACATAGATGCAGAGACCTTTTAATTTTTGATACTTCAAAAAGCGATTCCCTCCTTCTGCGAAATTCAAGCGAGACAAGAGACGATCTCACCCGTAATCTCCTCATCCTGCCGTTCACCCATCAGAGAAAACACTGTGTTTATAGATATATAAAGATATATTTTTGAAAGCCTCTATTTTTCAGACTTGGTTTTCTCACTGCTAAGAAAAGAGATGATAATAATGTAATTTTATTTTAATCTGCTGCCTTGGAAACTGGTGCTTGGAACTCCCATTCCTCTTTTTTTCTCCCCATACAAATGAAGCAGATCTAAGCACCCCAGAGATGTTGCGTCGAAGCCGACCCCAGCAGATATTTGCCAATAACATCACGCCTGCTTCTGGCCACGAGCCTCTCACGGCTTCCCCACTAACCCACTAGCTGAAGATTTAGACCGTATCCAAATCTCAAACACTAACAAAATCATCTGATGATTGTATTATTTTTTTAAAACACAGCTAATCACCTTCCAATGATGTAGCCGGGTGTCTATCARCTCCCTTTAAAGGCACTTTTTTTTCCCTTTAGCTCCTTTTTAAAATAAGGTTTTAAGGTGTAGCAACCCTTTCTGTCCCCGGGAGAGACTGTCAGCAGCATTGTGGATGGCCCAGGTCCTGGGGCTGGGGCTGGCGGGGACCTAGTGTTGATATTTTTTCCTTATGAAAGGGACAGAAAATACTCTTTGGGGTTTTTTCCTTTTTTTTTTTTTTTTTTTTTTTTTTTTTTTAAATTGCAGTCATGCTATGTGAGATTCGAGCTTGCACGAGTTAAGCCCAGCATATGTTTCGTTGTAATCACACTGCCGTTGTCAGCAGCCGGATGGTATCTCTCTCTCGCTCACACACACACACACACACACACACACACACAAACACATCCCTCCTTCCTGCACAAAGAACTGCATATATTCTTGCCAAAGATATCCTTAAAAACGCACTTTTCCCCACATATATATAGATAGATATATATTATTTTTTTTCGTGTGTGTGTAAATTTATTGTACGTGCCCTTTTTGTGTCAGTTTGTTCTTTGGAGAAGCCCGTCCTGCCTTTGCTGTTGATATTGCTGTCCATTGGGAAATGCTCCCTGGGGAGGTAATTTGCTGTCTGTCTCGCTCAGTGGCACCTGCAATGCACAAAATGTGGGGTTCCCATTCAATGGGGCTGCCTCTGGTTCTGCCCCTGGGACCTATTGGGAGATGATTAATGTCATCAACTGCTGATGGGATGTATCACTGCATGTTCTTCGCCAGCCCCTCATCACTGGAGGAGACGGCAGTGCTCATGGGTTTGAGCAGAGTTTGGGGTTTGCTCTGAATGCAACATTTGCTGGCTGCCTCCTGGTCAAATTACACATGGAAAACAAACCAGGTAGGGAGAAAAACCCAACCCAGCCTCTGGGCATTGATTTTTTTCAGTGAATTCAACCGCCTGAACCAAAGCGCAAAGTAAATCCCCACCCAGCAGGTCGGGCAGGTAAAGAAACCAGTTGCCCCAAAAACCCCAGACAACAGCATCAACAAAAGGCAACCCTTCCCGTTGGAGCAGGCAGGATGATCAGACAGCAAAGGAGCCCGCAGGGGCTTGTTTTATTTCGTTCGTTTGTTTTGCAAATTGCGAGGTTGGTTTGGGGTTACTAATTTTTTTTTTCTTTTCCTTAAAAAGGAAAAAAAAAAGAGAAAAAAGGAAGCAATATGACGTTTCTGTTGGCGGATCCTGTGCCGCCGTGTTATGCGTGGGTTTTTTTTTTTTGTTGTTGTTGTCTTTGTTACTTTGGTAATGTTACAGATTTATTTGCTAATCAGTGTTAACAAACAGTTTCAAACTTTTAGACTTGCCCATTTCTGTGTATTTATATAGATGGAAAAAAATACATTATATTTTGTATCTTTATGCCCATAATGTTGTCGTGCGTGTAAGGATGACTTCGGTCGCACCATGTCCGTGTGTGAATGTCACTCCGCTGTCGTCTTCCCATTGTACAGATGTTGGATCCTTTGCAGTTCATTGTATGGCTTTATAAAGTGGTAAAAACAACAAAAAAAAAGAACCAGTTATATAAAATATACTGTTGCTTGGAATGCCAGCTTGGTGTCTGGATTGCTGGAAATGTATCTTGAAATTTAAGGAAGCACAGGAATAAATGCTCTGGATTTTTTTTTTGCACAGGGAAAAAAAAAAAACAAAAAAAAACCAAACCCGAAACCCAAACGCAAAAGAAAAGCCGGCGGGTGCTGTGTTTTCTCCGGGCTGTCGTTTCCCCTGTTCCTCGATGGCAGATTGGGGCCCCCGGACAGACGCCGGGCGGTGGGTGTGGGAAGAAGGAGGGGTTGTGCTGCTGCTTGTCAGCCTCCAGCCGCAGCTTGTGTTCACCAGATGCTGGCTAACCAGACAGCCCCCAAACTTCCGACATGGCTCCAGCTCCAGCTTGGGCTTTTGTTTAACAGCAGGGATCTCTCCGGTTTGTCCTGCGGCCACTGGGAGCTCTTCAAGTCCTGTTGCTTTTTCCCAGGTTGCCTTTAGGTGCTATCTGTCCAGCCTTGGGCATCCCTTTTGGGGATCCCTTCCCGCGGGGGAACAGGATGGAATGATGCTGCTATGGGGTGTTTGCTGAGGTGGGGGTTTGGGCTCTGCTCCCATTAAATCCCACTCCTTATGCCTGTCAGAGCCATCCTGCTCCCTTCTGCCTGGCAAAACTTCCCCCAAAGTCTCAGGCCAGGCCTTTCCAGCATTTGCAGAACAATTCCCAGCATCTGTGAGAGCTTTCAGCCCCTGGCTCTCTGGCTCCACTCCTTCCCTTCCTTGCTGAGTTGGTGGCCAAGACCCAGCCCCCGGGATGGATTGAGTTTAATTATACAAGAAATATCAGCCAGAGCAGCGGCAGTTTCTCTGGCGCCAGCGCTGCTGCGGCTCAGAGGCTCAGAGCTTCTCCCGGGAGCCGGCAGCACTAAAAATACCTCCTGCCTTTCTCTAAAATAGCTGCGGGGCGAGGGGCGGATTGAGGGGGCTGTGCTTGCGGGGACCCCGTGCTGTGGGGCTTGTGCTGGGAGGCAAAGGCAAGAGAGGTAAAAAAAGAAAGGGGAGGAGATGGAAYGGTTTCTGGCCCCTCCCGAAATAGCTGTGGGGCTGTAGGTGGGCACCGAGCCCCAAGTGCCCTCTGAGCCAGGCTGCACCACGGGACCTTGTGAGGTGCCTAGCATGTGCCAGCCTTGGCCTCAGCTGTCCCTCCTGTGCCCGCGAGCAAGACGGGACCTGCAGCCTCCTCACCCTTTCTGACACTGCAGGGATGGCATTCTCTCGCCAGCGTTTCTTAGTTTTGTTTCTTCCCTGATTCCTGCTGGAATCAACTCCCCGGGACCCAGCACCAGTCACTGCGCTGTTCCTTCTGCTCCTGTCCAGCGGGGATGGCCCCTGCTGRGTATCCCTGGGCAGTGAGTGCCTGGCGAGGTGGCACACACAGGCTGTTTGTTGTGAGCCATAAACTGCCTCTCATTCCTCCCCCCCCCTCCTTTTCTGCAGTTAATTCCCCATTTCCTTTCCAAAATTCCTCCGGAACTTCTGGTTTGTGTTTTTCCTCAACATGTTCTTATCTGCCACCCATTTCCCCTCGCCAGCTCTGACAGYACAGGCTTTTCAGGGTCTCTCTCTGTGGCTTGCTGCTGTCCCCAAGCCAGGCTTGTGGTTCTGGTGTGACCAYTGGGAAAGGCAGGTCCCCACCAGCACCATGCTGGGAAGCC